TAACTTTCTGGGCCTGCCATGTGTCATTTACGTCCGCGCACATAGGAAATCGCGTGCGTTGCGATTTCCTACGCGATTGTTGACGACTGGGACCTCGTAGGGAGCTGTGTTATTTTCCGCGTTGTTGCGATCTCGATATTTTTTTACAGTAATTCTTCGCAGTAGACGAGAAGGTGGTATTATGGCCCTTGCAGGGTATTCTCCTTCTTAATATCTCCGCTATTAAGTGACGAATTCTAGCGATTACTTATAGAATCATTTGCCCGGGAAAACATTTTCTATATATAATTAGATATAATTATTTGATTCTATATAAGATGTCATATATATATATATATATCAAATAATTCTATATAAGATGTCATATATATATATATATATCAAATAATCAAATAATTATATCTAATTATATATAGAAAATGTTTTCCCGGGCAAATGATTCTATAAGTAATCGCTAGAATTCGTCACTTAATAGCGGAGATATTAAGAAGGAGAATATATATATGACATCTTATTATATATATATATATAAGATGTCATATATAATAATCAAATATATATATATATATATATATATATATGACATCTTATATAGAATCAAATAATTATATCTAATTATATATAGAAAATGTTTTCCCGGGCAAATGATTCTATAAGTAATCGCTAGAATTCGTCACTTAATAGCGGAGATATTAAGAAGGAGAATACCCTGCAAGGGCCATAATACCACCTTCTCGTCTACTGCGAAGAATTACTGTAAAAAAATATCGAGATCGCAACAACGCGGAAAATAACACAGCTCCCTACGAGGTCCCAGTCGTCAACAATCGCGTAGGAAATCGCAACGCACGCGATTTCCTATGTGCGCGGACGTAAATGACACATGGCAGGCCCAGAAAGTTACTTCAGCGTGTCGCGAGGTAAAAAAAATGCACGCGCGAGAGCGTAACCTGAACGCGTCGCATTTCGTGCGCGCTCCGATTAACGCATTCTTCATCTGTCTTTCTTTTCTCCCTTTGCAGATCGAGCAGCTCCGAAAGGCCTCGAAATTCGAGGACGAGATTCGCATGGAGCAGGAGGAGCGAAAGCGAGAGGAGGAGGAAAAAGCGGCGAGGCGGGAGCAATTCCGGCAGAAAGCTGCTCTCTTTGGCAATAATTAAGTGACGGAGTAACACGCGAAAGCAGCCCAGCACCTCGACTCGTCGTTAGAAACTGCGAAGAAGAATCGCCGTTCGGATCGTTAGGTTTATATTACCCGATGCTTGGAGCAGCAAGCGGTCGCGATATCGACAGCGCCGGCGAGCGCGACTCCATAAAGAATTTAAGTGCGCTCCGAGGAGACGTGAAATCGCGGCTCACTCGTGACGGCGATTGTTCGGCGAGCTCCCGAAGCACGGATCGAAGAGCACCGCGCGGTATAATTACCATGAGTCTCATTACTCGCGCTGTAGCTTCGAGATTTCAACTTGGCGAAATCTCGTGACGCTTTCGATCCCTGCTCCGAAGGCAGCGATAGAATTTTCGCAATATCGTGCTTTCGAACGCGTTAACGCGTCCCTCACGTGTAGGAATAAATGACGATAACGAGACAGCGAGTTTTCTCGAACGGTCGCTATTTTGATGCTATCTTCTTCGGCGCTACATAGCGATTACCGTGTTCGGATCACGCTATTGCGAAGAGTCTCTAGTTCACATAGTCGTGTACACATGAGTTTTACGTAGAGGAGTCGGAGATCTTGATGACTAATTATTGCTGTTGATAACTAATTGTTCGATGTACATCTATTTTACAGAGGCAATTTAAAATCGGACACGAAACCTTTATTTTACAATACTACTGAAGACTCGTGCGTAAGTCGGGTAATGTGCAAATTAAATTTGTGACAGCAGTTTCGATAAGAATCGTCACGGTGTTACCGTGAAATCGTCAACGGGCCTAACAATTGTAAGCGATATCTGAAGCTCAGAATAAATTAGTAATTTTGCGTAAACGAAATATTTGCATTGTTGTTTAACGTAGATATATCAATGTTAACAGAATTCACGCGGAGATGGGATTCCCAATGAAGTCTGAAAATGTTAAGGTCGGATAATCGATCTGTTACTTGTCGTGGTTATTAAATGACTATTGGAAGATGATATTCTTCCACGGGGCTTTGTCGGACGAAGGATGAAAAATGGAAGATTAAAAAAAAAGATTGAACGCAAAAAGAACCGATATTGCATTATTCCAGAAAATGATATTAAAGAGTCTCGAGTCTCCGGTAACGTGAGATTTGCTTTGCCGGCCCATGTACCTTAATTTCAGTTGTGACGATCTTTCCTCGATTATAATAACATTTATTTTGTCGCGTTAAGTGACGCACACACACACTGAACGTAATTTGTAATACATGTGTATAACATAAAAGATACGTACGTAAGTTGTATGTGTTATGTAGATGTCTTTGCTTAATTTTAAGAACAACATATTGAAAAGTTATTCGTAACTAAGGCCTTTTCTCATGCAGATATTTCTCTGGCGGCCGATTCGTTGCAATTATGCTTTACATTTCATCCGTATGATTTTAACAGATGTTTTATTGTGCATAACTGACAAGAGTCCGATTTAATGATCTTCGTCTATTGAGTTGTCAGTTTTTGCATTAAATAGAGCAGAAAGTGTAAAACCATTAGAAATGTTAAACAACTTTTTCGTCATAATTCAAAAAAAACCTTTTACTTTGTTGTCTTAATGAGCTTCATCTTATGTTACTTTTTACTTTGTTATGTTATTGCTCATACAGCATACTGTGTATTGCTTATGAGATGTACATGATATTTTCACATGAAACACACATTGTAAATAATATTAGAAAACCTTGGACATCTACTGTAGGAAGCGTATAGGTTTATAAGCTATAGATTGTAAATAGACTCTTATTTTGTTGCGTCGATTTTTTACGGATTTGATCGGAAGGTGAAATGATTATAACGACGTTGTATTGATATTGTGATATAGAGACTGCATCGTGCTATCGTCGTTGATAAAAAGAGACCGGCTAAGATAATGTAAAATGAGGCAAATAACTGATTTAATGTTTACACACGAGAGATTCTTTTGTTTCTTGTAATATATCCCTCTTTCCCCTTCTCCAATTTTTAAAAGCTTGAGCTTAAAATTCATAACATACATAATAATTTTGTCAAAATATTTTATCGTGTAAATGTAAAAATTTGTTTTAGATTTGTTTTAAATAAGTAGAATCATTATTTTTTTATTATGCAGATTCTATACGATATGCAAACATTAAAGTTAATTGTTATTTAATTTTTTATTTAGTCTATCTTTAACGCCAAGCTGATATAAAAAATTCTGTATAACATAATCTGTTATGTTTCGAACGCTCAGATAGGGTGAAGGAGCGAGTACCGATTCAGATGCGGAAAGTCGGTGGAGAGTTGACGCGCGGGACAGTCACGCGCCGCACGCCACGTAGGGGACCCGTCCGGGTCGACGTCGACTTCGTGGGTGACGCGACGAAGAGCGCTCGCGGGAAGACGGTGCCGTCTACCGTTCCCGAAGGCGATGTCCACGTGGACGATCGCACACGTCGAGCTACGCTCGACCCTGATTCCGACCAACAGTCCGGCGCAGTTGCTTCGCGGACGAATCTCCGGCCCTTCGCCTTGGAAGATCTTGTGGCGCTCACGGCCGAGTGCTGAACGAGGTTCCGGCACCAGGAGGGTATCGAAGGATGACTACCACCAAGACGACAGTACAATACCCGAAAACACACACTCGAAAAAGACGCTAGGCGCTTGCTCACTGTTCTGTCGACCTGAGTGCTATGGCAGACGAGAACAGTCTCCCCGAGCGCTCTTAAATATCCGCCAGCGAGCGAACTCGCTCGTGGGTTGATCACCCGGGCGGCGAGGGTCCAGCGCATGCGACACTCTCTCGCCTATTGCGCTGCAACCCGGCGGTCGAGCTTCGCTCGATCCGCAACAGTTATAATTTGAAAAATAATACCCATAATTCCCTATCAAGACGATTTTTGATGGCAGTAAGTGCTCACTCCACCATTTTGTTTTCGAAATACATCCAATTATAATAGGTTATATGGAGACAAATAATTTAAATTTTCGCGGGCAAACGAAAGTGAATCTGCGCAACCTAAAAACGAATTAGCATTGCCGTAGGCGCGATCCACTTAACACTCGTAACGACGCGAGCGTCACTCTATCTTTGTTTCTCGTTGGATGTTGAATAAAGACAGAATGATGCTCGCGTCGTTGCGAGCGTTAAGTGGAACTTGCGCCATGTAAACGTAGGTTAGGGTCCATTTCAAATTGCTCTGAAGCGCCATATAGACCAATCATGAGGTCTGTTCGTTTTCGCTGCATCGCTGAACTAGTGTAATAAGTGAAGTGAGAAAACATATACTTGTCTCGCTTAAACTTATTGCACTAATTCAGCGGAGCAGCGAAAACGAACAGACTTATGTTCTTTAAGTGCTCCAAAGCGTTTATTGCTAAAAGCTCCAGCAGCGTGAAATGGACTTGTCCTAATCAGGAACGAACCAACGGCGTCTGCTATGATTACGTTATTGCGCATGTTCAGTTCTCTCCTCCCTTCTTGCAATCGCTTTATTTCACATTATAATTACCAACACTAGGTACTTTCGGTATAACAATCGGTCGTTAGGCTTCCTGTGGAACGAAAGGAAAAAACAATACGAATCATTAAGAGGTAAATATCTTCATCAGTTTAATTTCTCAGCAAATTCTTATCATATGTGTCAATATCACACTGATAACGCTGTCAATTATAATTTTAATCTTGTATTGTGAACTTGTATATTCTGATATAAAATAATATATATCCCAGGACTCGCAATTATTCATCGTGCAATATTAATGCTTCTCATGTTTTTGCAATAACTCTGTAACTTTTGTACATGTAATGACCATAATATATATGATGATAATATTGTAAATATAAATTTTGCTACTTTTGCTATTCAAGTGAACAAACGTTATTAGTCGAAAGTGTGTAATGCTATATCATTTGATTTTATCTGATCAAATGTATCTAATGTGTATAAAATAGCCTCATTTGGTAAATATTTATTTTAACTTATGATAAATAGTCTGTTATATAACAGTGACCTGGAAAGTATCAGCTGAATAATATCAGGATGGCGTTAGTACAGGTATACAAACATTTCTTATTTCAAAACATTTGTTATAGCGATACTTGTCAATATAACATAGTAGCTTCAAATAAATTTACAGCATAGAATAATGTGTATCACATACCTGCATGAGAAATATATATGTTGTAGGTAGAAAAGTTGGTGAAGTTATATACATCATTAGCTACCGCTCCATCTTTAACTTGTGTACGAATTCTGAATCCATTAAATAATAATGTGGTGGTACAAAGCAAATGGACGCAGAGAAATCTGGATATAAAGACCAATCAACGTTTTCTGATCAATCATATCTTTAAGCCTGGCAGTATCGAGGACTCCAGTGATCTTCCAATCGATATTACCACAGAGTATGTAATTGTAATATATGTTTTAATTATAACATTATAAATTAATTTAGTAATAGTATATTATTATTGAGCAATAAAATGTAGATAATTATAAGCAATATTAATATAAATAAATTCTCTAAAATTTAGGCTCATGTCTACTCTGACAAATGATGAAAAATTCAGGGCTGTTCTGAGACAAGTCACAGTTGAAAATACTAAGAAAGAATTTATAGAAATCTGGGATAAGCATCATTTGGTGAAAAATTATGATCTTTCTGCTTTGGATGTTCATGGCAATGTTTATACGGATAGTAAGACACGGCTCTCTGACAACTACCTTAATCTCTGTCTGTGTTTTCTTAAATATATATTAATACATTGATTATATTTATCTTTTGCACAGGTGAATTTAGTTCTTTCAAGTGGTCTCCGGATAATACTAAACTTCTCTACATAGCAGAAAAGAAGCTTCCCAAGACAGAACCATTTTATAAGCAAAAACCTCAAGATAAGAAAGATAAGAAAGATAATGAGATGGTAATAGCTGTGAGTGCTCTACTTTTACAATTATCCAATTCCAGATCTCCATATCTTTGTTTATCTCTGTACGTATTTCTCTCTTGTATATTTTATCTTACATAGGGTAACGAATATATCTATAAGCCTCATTGGGGAGAACAATTGGTAGATAAACACCGACCTGTCGTTGTGGTCCTTGACACAACAATGGAAACCATTACAACATTGTCTGAAATACCAGATGACCTTTCCCCTGGTCAAGTAATCTGGACGAAAGAACAGGATATAATTGGTGTGGCTTGGAAGCACGAGCCACGTTATTTAGGTCTTGTCTCGTGCACCAACAGAGCTTCGTGGATATTCTTATTAAAGGACGGGAAATATCGTAAGGAACATTCAAAAAGTTGTTGCGCAAATATTATATGTATGTGTTAGTAAAGAAAAATTTGTAATTTTTATTATTCAGAAAAATTATCCGATGATGGATGTGCCGTGCATAGTCCGAGACTTAATCCAAGTGGAGATACTCTCGTTTGGATCGAGAGAAATATTAGTAATTTGCATCACAACACACAAAGACTTATGATGCGTGATTTAAAATCCGTGGAAACGAAGGTAATGTGTTAAATAAAAAATCGAGAATAAATTAACTTGAAGAAAAGAGCACATATATAATATAATAAAGATATAAAATTGTATTGTTTCATATAACATACAGAATAACGTAATTGTGGATATTGTGCAAACGAGCGAAACGATTAAGAAAAACAAACAATTTTATGGAATATATGGTCGCTTGCCTGATCGTTGTTGGAGTGATGACGAGCATTTATTTTTCAGTACACCTCAGAAGAACAATATCTTCTCTTACATTGTAAACATAAGTAAGTAACTAGAAATGCTTGCAAGCTTGACAGCGATTTATTGCCATTAATTTCTTTTCCTTGCATGCGATATGAAGGTAATGAATTTGTTTGATTTGCAGAAACAAAAGATATCGTTGAGGTACAAAATGAGAACAGTAGTCTCAGTGTACTAGACGTAAAAGGAAACGTGGTTGCATTTTTAAGTACATCTCTAACGCAACCTTCGTGCCTCATGGTAGGTTGTTTTCAAAATACCGAGTTGGAAACTGGCGATATTTCGAAATTAGCCATTACAACACCGCTAAATTTTGGTCTTGATAAATTTATGTATGAGGCTAATGAATATACTTACGACAATGACGACGAGATAAGTAAGTACATCGCACATTATCTGTTTGTTATTCAACATTGTTATTCTGCTCTACGATTATCTTGAGAAATATCTTGTTTCCAGAGCAATTCAACTTTATTTACTTCGGCCCCAAAAGCGGAAAAACCAAGTCGACACCTTTTATAATCGTACCACACGGAGGTCCTCATAGCAATTATGCAAACACGTTTTCTTTGGACTTCTCTTTCTTGGCATTATCAGGTGTGTAAATCGTACATCGTTCTCTGCGAGATCAGAAAAGAGCTGTCCCGTTTACTGATTGTGTAAAATTCAGGTTTCGCGCTGGTGCTGGTTAACTACCGCGGTTCCACGGGGATGGGAGCGACGACCGTGGAGTTTCTTCAAGGGAAAGTGGGAGACGCAGATGTGAGAGACTGTATAACTGCCGCAGAGGAATCATTGAAGAAGTATCCCTGGCTCGATCCGAAACGCATAGGCCTTTGCGGCGGATCGCACGGTGGATTCTTGGTGGCGCATTTGAGCGGACAATTCCCGGTAAGAAGCTGAATGAAACGTCAAATGTGCACAAGCGTCTAATATTTAATTATTGTGCGGTCATCGATGTGTAATATTTTCTTGCATTCTCAGGACATGTTTAAAGCGGCGGTCGCGAGAAACCCAGTGATCGACATCTCCCTTATGTTCCACACGTCGGATATCCCAGATTGGTAAAGAGACACACTTGCTTAGTTGTTAATTACTTTTTTCAAGCCTTCAGTTATTCAATGTCCCATTTGTATTTCAGTCGCAATGCTCTGACTAAGGAAGAGAAAATAACATATCTTCACGATGTGTAAGCTTAACCGTTATCTCAAACGTATACAACTTGAAGAATACCTTTATTCTAATTTCTTGACTGAAATACAGCTTTCCTTTATTTGAGTGTGTGCGCATGAATTATACGCAGGAATAATTCAAACGGACATACTCTCCTGTCTCTGAGTATCACGCTCGTGTTTACACGACGAATGTGATTAAACTTTCTGTTATAGGTGCGCCGCAGCAATAAATGCTTCTTCCTGCAACCTTTTGGAAGCCGGCAGCCAACCCGACCTCGTCAAGTTGTTCGTGAAAATGCTGGAACGCTCGCCCATCATTCACGTCGACAAAGTCAAGATACCGACCTTGATTTCCATTGGAACGAACGATCTGAGAGTACCGTATTTCAGTGGGAAAACGTGGTATCACCGTCTTAAAACCAACAACGTGAAAACTAAGTAAGTCGTGTCCCGTATCCAAGTTCAACGCGTAGGTTGAACACTTTATTGTGTTATATTTGAAAAATTACGAATTTTAAAACGTTTATGAAGAAAATTTTGTGTGAAGAAATTTACTTTTATTAAAAATAATTATACTGATATACAATTACAGAATGCACGTATACGAGGACAATCATCAGTTACTGAACGGACCAAGCGAAATCGATCATATTATCAACGATTGTATGTGGTTACTCGAACATCTGAAGAAAGATGATGATGCAGAACCCGAAAACGAGGAATAAATGAAGCTTGAAATTTCGTTCCTTTTTGCGTTTGATCTCAGATATATATATATGTATGTATGTATCCGAGATCAAACGTAAAAAAGAGCGAAATTTCAAGTTTCATTTATATTTAGGCTTCATATATATTATATATATATATATATA